TCTGTGGCGTTAACTCGCGTGTTTTACTGTGGCGTTAACTCGCGTGTTTCATTGTGGCGTTAACTCGCGTGTTTTACTGTGGCGTTAACTCGCGTGTTTCATTGTGGCGTTAACTCGCGTGTTTCATTGTGGCGTTAACTCGCGTGTTTTACTGTGGCGTTAACTCGCGTGTTTCATTGTGGCGTTAACTCGCGTGTTTTACTGTGGCGTTAACTCGCGTGTTTCATTGTGGCGTTAACTCGCGTGTTTTACTGTGGCGTTAACTCGCGTGTTTTACTGTGGCGTTAACTCGCGTGTTTCATTGTGGCGTTAACTCGCGTGTTTTACTGTGGCGTTAACTCGCGTGTTTCATTGTGGCGTTAACTCGCGTGTTTTACTGTGGCGTTAACTCGCGTGTTTCATTGTGGCGTTAACTCGCGTGTTTCATTGTGGCGTTAACTCGCGTGTTTCATTGTGGCGTTAACTCGCGCGTTTTACTGTGGCGTTAACTCGCGTGTTTCATTGTGGCGTTAACTCGCGTGTTTCATTGTGGCGTTAACTCGCGTGTTTCACTGTGGCGTTAACTCGCGCGTTTCATTGTGGCGTTAACTCGCGTATCTCACTGTGGCGTTAACTCGCGTGTCTCATTGTGGCGTTAACTCGCGTGTTTTACTGTGGCGTTAACTCGCGTGCTTTACTGTGGCGTTAACTCGCGTGTTCTACTGTGGCGTTAACTCGCGTGCCTCATTGTGGCGTTAACTCGCGTGTTTTACTGTGGCGATTAACTCGCGTGTTTTACTGTGGCGTTAACTCGCGTGTTTCATTGTGGCGTTAACTCGCGTTTTCATAAGCAAAATATTATGAGTGGGTGCTAAGTTAAAATATAGGAATGGTACAAGATTGAACTAATGGATAAGCTTAAGAAGTAAACGCCACTGCAGATTAGTGGGGATATCGACAGACTAAGTCTGAAGTCCAGAATAACACAGGCATAAAAGCGAATAAAGACATTCCAAGCATATGGGAAAAACGGAGAAATTGTTAAGGACACAAGGCCAAAGGAAATAAGAGACGTAATGTTTAAAGAAATACATATTCAAAGTACACAACATAAAAAATGGTTAAGTCTTTTTACGGTCTTCACTTCGGAACTGCTGCACCCGCTTCACTTCGATTCTCAGCATCCGGAGGGGGCGGCGGAACGAGGCTTGGCTGTGCCTCTTCGGAACTAACCACCGTTCCAAGGGCCCCAATGTCCCCGACAAAGTCCGTAATGGCTCCTTGACGGGTAAACTCTTCAACGAGACCCTGGTAAACCGGCCTCCACCATTCCAAGTTAGGATCCTCATTAACATCCCCCTCAAAACCCGGGATCACGTCATCGGGAAGGTCTTCGGCCAGTTCACTTTCCACCAACGGGAACTCGATGCCGGCGCCACATAACCTCTTTCGAACGGCTGCAACCGCCGAGGAGAAGAAAAAACGAGCCAACCCCGAAGCTTCTCGGGTGAAGGTAGTCGAACGCCATAACCGGTGAAAGAAACGACGAACGAACTCCTCGATAAAACGGAGACCTTCGGGCGACCCCGGGAACAATCTCTGTCCTTCTTTCACCCCCTCGGCGAAATTAGTAGAGGCCTGAACTCGGCTGCATACAGCTCGTTGGAAAGTCCTTTGGCTTTTTCTTCTAGGCTGGCGACGTGAGAGCCCAGGGAGTCTTTCTCCGCCTGTAAGATCTTCTCCCTCTCCTGCAACCTCTTCACCTCGGAGAACAGCCCTTCCTTCGACGATTCAGACATCGCCAAACTTTCCTTCAGGCCTCGAACTTCCTTTCGAAGTTGAGTCACCTCCTTCTTTTGGTTATCGTATGCCTCACGCGAGACATCATCCCACCCCAAGGGACCCGAGAAAGCGATGGCGAATTGCTACATGTACAAAGAGTTCAAACAAGGTTAGCCTTGGATAAAAATATGAAGCTAAGGAATTGGTTCGAATAATCCGAAATCAGACAAACCTGCGTAATGTTGTGAAGAAGTAGCTCGAGACGGTCGCCTTTACTCATCTGCCCGAAATGGGCAATGTCGGTGGGAAAGGCCAAAGACCGACATGCGGCAATGGCGTTCTCCGCGTTTTGGCAAAGATGAAGCCCAAAACCGGCAGGCAAAGACGATCCAGCCGCCCCAAGGGCCAGGTCAGTTCTCCGCTTCTTCGGAGCGGTTTCTTTTTCCACCGTTTCTTCGGTCGGAGGAGGAGGTGGCGACGAGGCCAGAACTATGGCGGAAGACCGCCGGGGAGGTTCGGAATCCTCAATCCGTGGTCCACCTCGGGCGCGAGGAGGTGCGGCGTTTTTCTTGGGAGGCCTGGGTCTTAAGGATCCCTCCTCCGAGGAGTGCTTTTCAGATTCAGCGACCAGAGGGCGCTGGAACTCGGATGCTTCGAACCCAGGCTCCGGCTCGGAAGGACGAGTGGCCGGTTTGTCGCCTCGAAACATCCTCTTCATCCTTAAATCTGCCCACAAAATTGGGAAAATAGGATAAGTAAATGAGGCGCAGAACAAATATACAAGGAACTAATAAGACGACGGAAATACGTATCCGAGATAACACAATAAACCGGGATAAAAGACATGTATCGCAATCAAACCCACCTAAATCTTCCCGGGTTAGGGAGTACGTGCCGTTGTCGTGAAAATAGAAGTGGCGAAGCATCGGCGGAAAGCTAGTGAGGCTATCCGGGACGCCGTAGCTCGGTTGAAAGTGGGTTATCATTTTTAATAAACATTCGTCAATCGCCAAAGGTTTCCCCCTCTTCTTCTCGGGCAGGGTGGCGAGCCAAGGACACAAATAGGGGGTGTCAACAGGGTTCCTAGCAAAGAAATAGTGACCTTGCCACCCATCGGTTTTGTTAGGTGGCATCAGTATTTTGAAACCCGGACGGGCCGAGATGGAGATATGGAAGGGACTCGAATTCTTTAAAACCATGATGCTTCGAAAGCGAGCTGGTGTGGGAATCACCCCCGACCAGGCGCACAGCATGCGAAATCCGGTCATGATGATTATAGCGCGAGGATGGAATTGGTTGAGGGATACATTACATAGTTGGGCGATTTCAGAGAACCAAGGCGAGATAGGGAAAGAAAGACCAAAGTAGAACTGCTCGGAAAACCAGGTACTAAAGCCTAAAGGAGGGTTTAGAGGGCGATCATCTCGCGAGGGCAGAATTAACTCGACATCGGTAGGGAGGCCTATGTCACGAACTAAGTTAGCTAGATCTACTTCGCTCAAGGTACTAGGTCCCCATTGGTCATTCGGATCTCGTCCTTCAGATAAGGAAGGAGAACCACTCCTCGCAGAAGACGAAACCTCTTTTCTGCCCCTTTTCTTGGGCCGTTCTAAGAGCTTGCCCGAAGGGGAGAAGTAGGGTCCTTCCTCTGACGAAGAAGAAATAGAAAAGGCGGGGTTTTCACCCCCCTCCGGAGAGGGCATCTTTTGGCCGAAAGGATCAGGCGAACGGGCAGACATTATCAATTCGAAGAGTAAAAGCGGGGGTAATAAAAGATGGGGGGAAAGAAGTAGTACCTTTGTCGAAGAAGAAAACAAGCACGGATAGGAAAGAACTTGGTTCTCGAGAAGCAAAGTCGCCGGAGGTAAACAAGGATAGGGGAAGCGTAGAGGTGAAGAAGAGGAAAAAATTCTGAAAATTCGTGGAAGTCAGATACTTATAGGAGGAGGAAAAGTGGAAACCCTGATCACAACCGTTTATTCGGACGGGCGAGATTCAAAGTAGGTCGCCTCGAATTCGGCGCAAGAAGTGTCGATTGGACTCCCCTAGTAATGACCTAGGAAAGAGAAAAAAACAATCATAACCGCCCACCCGAACGAACAAGATTTAATGCAGACTACCTCGAACCTAGCACAAAAAGCGCTGATGGAAATCTTCTCATGATGACCTAGGGAACTTGAACCGACCACGCGGGGTGTCAGAGCAATTAAGGAAAGGGAAAGGAAGAGGGGCTGCGTATGCCGACGTAAATCTAAATCGAAGTGCGAACTGATGCCTCGTACTCCGTACTTATAAAACGAGGTAAAGAAAAGCCGACTTGTTTTATAAGTAAGGAGTAGGGGGGAGTAGTTGATACGGGCTTGTTTGACAATTAACAAATAAACATAAGCCCATTAGGATAAGCCCAATACGATAGGCCCATAATGAAGAACCCATGATGTCTTAGCTCGGTACCGTGAGCGAAGTCGTCGTATGGCGCGAACTCCGGAACTACGTGGGAGTACCTTAACTCGCTAGCCTAATACCAAAACGAGGTAAGGCGAGCCCAGGACAATACAGGCCCAAGATACATGACTTGGGGGAAAAGAGAAACCCTAAAAAAGGAAAGCCTTGGAGGCCAAGCTTTCCTCATCTATAAATAAGAGAATCAACACACACACAAAGGGATGGGATTTTTTACACTAATCATTATTATATTGTATATACATTTTCTCTCCTATTCCGATCACTGACTTGATCGTCGGAGCTTTCTCGCCGGGAACCCCTCCCGGCGTTGCAGGTTTATTCATCCGGAGTACGGACGGAGCTGGCTTGAGGAAGACGAAGACCTACGGACTAAATCACTCTCTCTCTCTCTCCTCTCTTTCTCTCTCTAGGATTTAGCATTTCAATTTTTTTTTTTTTTTGGATATATTGGAGCTGAAATATGGGGAATTGGCTAATTCATACGTTTGGAGTTTGTGCTGGGGCGTTTTCGTCGCCGATGTTCGATTTTAATTCAATTGGCTGCGGTGGATGCAGATTTTGCTCGTAGATTGATTGGGGTTGAATTGAATTGAATCCGCATTGAAATCTGGGCCGTCGGTTTTGTTTGGCTGCCTGTATTTGTTTTAGATCTAAGCAGAGTTCGAATTTTGTCGGTGATGTTGCTGTACGATAAATCGCGGTTCTTCGTTCACGGCGGCGGTGAGTTCTCAGTACCAGGGTTTTAAGAAGGGATATATATATATATATATATATATATATATATATATATATATATATATATATATATATATATATATATATATATATATATATATATATATATATATATATATATATATATATATATATATATATTGAGTGTTTCAGATTTATATATATATATATAGAGATTTTGTTGCGGGTTTTAAGGTCGAATGTTCCTTGATTTTTAGCCTTTTCTTCTCCCCTAAATGTAGTTAGAAAACGCCATTTTTTTTTTTTTTTTTTTTGTTGTCTATTTTTAGATTTATCTAGTAACTTCTGATTAAATTTCCAAAAATGTGTGTGTATTTTAGTTAATTTTGGTTAATGCGTAGGGCTGGCATTAGTGTGAGTACCAGTGATATACAGTTAAACCTCTATAAATTAATACAATCTGGACTAGGGAAATTCTATTAATTTAGCGAATTATTAAATTATCGAGTTAATAATTTAACACGTTTTCACCCAATCGGGACCGAGAGAAACAAGGGTGTTTTTAATCTGTCATTATGTAACACAATACTTACATGTTTGTCACCTGTTTGCAATGTCAACTACAGGATTGCTACAAGAGGTCCAGTGGTCTGTTATGAGAATTTTGCTTATTTTGTGTTCTATACTGTCTGCCACCGATGCTAATTTACGTAACAAAATGTTGGAAAGAGAAGCTCTGTCTCCAGCTATTTCCATGCCTGAGCTGCCCGTACCTGCAAATCTGCCTTTATTTCAGAGGCCTCGCCGTAACCACCTAAGCCCTTACGGTGCACCTGCGGAATCTCCTAATTACGGTCATTTTGTCATCTCTGTTCCCCCTTCAAGCTCTCGTTTGTCCAAACCCTCGATGAAGAAGAACGGACAGGTTCCAGCTGGCGCCACCCTTTCACCTTCGGAGATTCCGCCAGCTCAGCCCGAGCCTAACACCATACCTGCTGGCTTAACTCAGCCACCACTATCTTCAAGCATCTCTAGTAAGATTTGATTATCTGCTTATATTTATATATTTCATGTTTTAACAATCACTCTTACTTTTTGGGTTTATTGCATTCAACACCCTTGTGTTTACGATTGATTATCTGCTATATCCGTTTTCAAGTTTAAACAAAAAATGTGAATCGATCTTTCTTCAGTTGAGAGTAACTTATATTCCGTCCCCTTATGTTTTGGTTTATTGCATTTATCACCCCTGTGTTTACTCTCATCATGTTATTAATATTAGCAAAAACTCCCTTGTAATGCAACTTTTGTTAGCAAACTACCCCCTAAAACCTCACCATTTATGGGGCCGTGTGCTAAAATAAATGCACTGTGGAGGGATTTTTGCTAATATTAATAACACGGGGACCTTTTTAGGAATTTGATATAACTCTGTAATCAAATTTTTATATGGATTTCTGTTTCCTTTTGGCAGATTGTTGTGCACCAGACATGGTTCTCAAACGTGAGAGCAAAGGCTGCCACTGCGTGTATCCAATAAAGCTCGATATTCTTCTCACGAATGTCTCTTCTAATCCTAATTGGAATCTTTTTCTGGAGCAATTTGCTTCACAGCTCGGTTTACGAGTGTCACAGATTGAGCTAATTAACTTTTACATGGTCAGTATATCGGGACTTAATATATCGATGGACATTACTCCACATACTGGTTTAAGTTTCTCTGCGAGAGAAGCTTCTGGAATAAACTCTTCACTGTCGATGCATAAGGTCCGTTTGGATCCTTCTTTGGTGGGTGACTACAAGCTTCTAAACCTAACCTGGTTTAAACCGCCAGTTATGCCTCAAGGTAAATAAATATTCATGTTTGGAGTTTTATTTTAGCAATGTTTGATTTTTTTCGTGATAATTTTTTTACGTTCTTTTAGGCCTCGATTGGTAGTCTTTGATTAACCTTGATATAATACGAATCGAGGCTAATTCTTAATTTGTAAAGTCAAATGGTTTTGAACGAATTTGATACCGAATTTAATATCTCCATCAGAGTTGCTCTAATAATGCTTGTTACATCACAAATGGAATGACAAATACACCCCTCTATTGGTAGCGTTAATATTTTTGTTAATTAGCTGTTATGCATGGACAAAAAAATGGAGAGTAGAAAATAATCACAACTTCTACTATCAAATATCAAACATGAATATAGAGCACATCACTTATATAATACATAAATATAGATAGCACATCAATTATAAGTAACCATATTTTGTCTTCCATATAGCTCCAAATTCTGCAAAATCTCCAGCGGAAGCATCGCCAAAGCTTCCATCAACTCCCACAGCACAAGTCAATTTGGGAAAAGTCAAACGGCCAAGTTTTGTTCTAGTTATTGGACTTGGAGCTGTAGTTCTGATAGTTGCTATCGTTTCTGTGGTTATAGTTTGTTTATGTGTATCTCGTCAAGGGAAGCCTGTTGAGTCTTTCAAGGAAACTGGTACGTAAAACAAGTTGCACTGAGTGCTTTTTTATTTCTGTTCCGCAGCTTTATATTCTTCGTCTTTGTAATGCTTTCAATACAACTATTGTATAAAATGTTCGGATTTTTTTTGGGCTCGTAATCGCATGATACGGTACAGTGTATAATGCTTTCAATACAACTGTTGTATAAAATGTTCGGATTTTCTTTAGATGTAGTTTTTGCTCGAAAAATAAAACCTTTAACCAATGAAAGTCATAATTCAATTGTTTGTGTGAAGACAAAATAACAATTCTCAACCTCAGACCATAGTTTTTGATACTCTTTTTAAATCAAAAAATATTATGGTGTCGATAACATTATCAATTGCTGGATTTGGGTTGGGATTTTTTGACTAGACCAAACCTCAATGGAAGTATATGTGAATTTTAAACCTGAGGGGTCTAGGTGCAATTTGACCTAATCTCAGGGGAGGCAAGTGTAATTAAACCCATTTTTTTTAATATACTTGATTGCTGGCAGAGGAGAAGCACATACTCTTGTTTCTTCTTTTTTTGCCATCTTCTCTACTCAATAAAGCACTTCCCAACAAATATTGAAATAGACCTTTTTTTTTCTCCTTCGTGTTCTGTTTTAATTTTTAATTTTTATTTTTTCGAATTTCACATGTTTATTTATTTTTTGTGTTGCAGCAAAACAAAGAACCGTAGAAACAGCTCCAGCCATAGGCTCACTTCGCCACCCAACCAGCACACGCTTTCTCACCTACGAAGAACTCAAAGATGCCACAAATAACTTCGAACCCTCGTGCATTCTCGGTGAGGGCGGTTTCGGTAGAGTTTTCAAGGGCGTTTTAGTCGATGGCACTGCCGTAGCAATAAAGAAGCTGAGCACTGGCGGTCAACAAGGCGACAAAGAATTCTTGGTCGAGGTTGAAATGCTTAGTCGCCTCCATCATCGTAACCTCGTAAAACTCGTCGGATATTACAGTAATCGAGACTCATCGCAGAACCTACTCTGTTATGAGCTCGTTCCAAATGGAAGTTTGGAAGGGTGGCTACATGGTATCTTTCGTAACTTTTGTAAAAAATATGAATCACTTAATATATATATATATATATATATATATATATATATATATATATATATATATATATATATATATATATATATATATATATATAATTATGGGTTTTTTTGATATGTATAGGGCCATTGGGATTAAACTGCCCGCTTGATTGGGATTCGAGGATGAAAATTGCTCTTGATGCTGCACGAGGTCTTGCTTACTTGCATGAGGATTCGCAGCCTTGTGTTATTCATAGAGATTTTAAGGCGTCGAATATATTGCTCGAGAATAATTTTGATGCAAAAGTTGCGGATTTTGGGCTTGCTAAACTTGCTCCTGAAGGCAGAGTGAATTACCTTTCTACCCGTGTAATGGGAACTTTCGGGTTAGTCTGTTTGTTCCAAGTCTTATTACGCTTTCTAATTTCTATTCAAGACTCGATTTTTAGTTACTTTTTTTTTTTGGGTTAACGCTTCGATCGTTTTCTAAACCATTTTTTTACAGATATGTTGCCCCTGAGTATGCAATGACTGGGCACCTTTTGGTGAAGAGTGACGTTTACAGTTATGGAGTTGTTCTTCTTGAGTTGTTGACAGGAAGAAGGCCTGTTGACATGGCACAACCATCAGGCCAGGAGAACCTCGTTACATGGGTTAGTTATTGATTTTTTATTTTTTTTTCATTTTGTTAATAATTGATATCTAATTTCATTAATAGGATCATTTGCTAACAAGATCAAAACGACCCCACTTTGTTTATCTACAAATAGAATGACAAGTTCAAGAAAGTTTAGGCGGTGTTTGGTCCCACTTCTCAAATTCATTCACATTCTTCCTCCAAAACGAAATTCTGCTTGTCTAGCTTCTAAACCAGTCTTCAAAATTTAGGGGGAAAAAAAATCAAAAGCTTATTTAAGTGGACAAATAATCAATTGATTTGGTGATTTGATACCGGCCTCTTTATCTATTCAAGGCCCTAGTAAAGGCAACCAAACATCTGATAAAGTCGGATTATATAGTCTTGTCACATTTTATCACTTGCAAAAATAAAAAATCGAAACAAAAATATAGTCCCAAAAGGTGCCGCCAAACTTGGTTATATAAATAGCCGTGTTAATTTATTGCAGGCAAGGCCAATTCTAAGAGAAAAAGACCGACTAGAGGAACTAGCCGATCCGAGGCTTGAAAATAAATACCCAAAGGAAGACTTTTTCCGAGTATGCACAATTGCAGCAGCTTGTGTGGCACCAGAAGCTAACCAACGGCCCACCATGGGAGAAGTGGTCCAGTCTCTGAAAATGGTGCAAAGAATTACAGAGTATCACGATTCTGCAGTAGTGACATCATCCAACACCACTACAGCACCCAATCTCAGACAGTCTTCGACAACGTTTGAGTCCGACGGAACATCATCGATATTCTCTTCTGGTCCTTACTCGGGATTGAGTGCTTTGGAGAATGATAATATTTCTAGGGCAGTTGTTTTTTCTGAAGATCTCCATGAAGGAAGATGATGATGACTTCATTTTTTTTTCGTGCATTTTTTTTTCTCTTTTTCGTTTGGATAATTTTAGTTTTGATCCGCAAATTGTTTCTCGAGGGTCGAGAAACGGGGGTGGTATTTTGGTAGACATGGTTCGGGAAAGATGTATGCAAATTCTTTTTCGTGGGGATGTATGAGTAATTATTGTGTTCTTGTCCATCCCATGTAGAGGTCATTTCTCTGCATGTTGAGATGAGACTTTTGTACATATAGTTGATTTAGTCCTCTCCTTTTTTTTCTTTTTTTTTTAAGCAATATTGAAATGTTTTGGCTACGCTTAAATTCCTCGTTTCGATCCATTATTTCGGAGTCGATCAATTCTTTATTTTTATTTTTTTACCTTAAAATAGCAGAAACATGAGAATTATGACTTTCAAGCACATTTTATTCAGTTTTTGGAGTTGAGGTGAGTTTGGAAAAAAGAACACATTAACGTTTGTTTGTATTTTGAGTTGCCGGTAGGGAGACAAAAACTAAACAAAAGTCGAATTATATTTTCTAACGTGTACCATTTTGCAATGGGTTTTTGCTTTACTTGATAATATTTCTTTGGGTTGAGCCAAAGAGTTACAAATAACGAGTTCTTAGGCTGGACAAGAATCTAATCTCTCCAATCAGAATGTGTTTCAAAAAAAAAAAAAAACAATTGTTTTTTTATTAGGAAATAGAAAATAACTTTCAATTTGAATTCCAAAATCGAAAATCTATATATCTTTTTCGAATTCGAAAAGCCCCGAAAATTTAGCAACTAACCTTTTCGAAAGTCGCGTATAATTTCTTTCGCACAAGATTATGGAAATAGTTTATGCCACCCATCAGCAAAAGTCAGGAGTCGGCACATGTCTCACTTCTGTCGAATATTTATGCTGCGGGTTCTTTCCAATCCTTCTCGGCTCGGCATGTACGTAGAAGTCTGAATCAAATAGCGCATGAAGTGGCTCGTCTTTCTTTTAATGGTCCTCATATGTTGACAGTTCTACCTCTATATGATCAGATTGTATCTTCTGAAGCAGAACATTAATAAAAGTTTACCTTTCATCTAAAAATAAAAACTAAAAGAATATAAGCATATTTCAAGTTTTAATAAGTCAAATAAAATATGGGCAAATGCCAAAGAGAGACATGACAAGGTAGTTAAATGCACATTGGTCCAGATAAAAAAAAAAGTCTTCCAAATAAACTCATCCCCATATATTTTGTCTAAAATACCCTTCATAATATATTTTTTATCAATTCCATCTATTATACTCTTAACTTCCTCAATATTGCACATTGACCCCGAATTTAAACAAATATATCAAATTAACCCCCATTTTCATAATTTTTGAAAACATAGAATTTTTTTTTCAGAAAATATTTTTTTCCGGCCAGATTCCGGCGTTGACTGGGCGATTATCCAGCATTGATTTTTTTTTTCTTATTGTAAATAAAAAGTAGGATACGACCACCCCCTATTGTAAGGTCATATTACAAAAAACTCCATCATGTTTGGATAATTATAATTATCCCCTCAATTATGTATTGTTTTGCACGTCCACACTTATAGTGTCAAATTTACCAATTGAATGAGGGGTTTTTCGTAAGAAAATACATAGTTATTTGTAAGGGTAAATTATAGCTAAACTCCCGAGGTATGCTAAAATAATTTTAAGGTCCTTATAGTATTGGTAATTACAGCCACCCCTGTAACAATTACCGGAGCCAAAATTTCATGTCCTGGGGACCGATATGCACTATATATGTTTCACATGCATCCGTTAATTCTATCATAGACGATTTTTTTTAAATCTTATACAAAATAATAAGGATAAAGGAAATGTTGGAAGAGCCATGTCACCCCTACCTCTATGTTGTTTCCATCATTGCCTGAAACTAATAGTCACTTAGAACCCTAACGGAATAACCTATCCCATGCATTATTCTTTAGCTAAATTACAGAGTCACCCCTGAGATAAGCTAAAATAACTTTAAGGTCTATGTGATACCGGTAATTATAATCACCTCCTTGAACCATTGTTAGAAACTGTAACGGGATTATGCATTTGATTCGTTATTTCGGCAGATTTCTAACAAACTATTAATTTCAGTAGAGCTAGAGGGTGACATGACTCTCTCAACATTTCTAAAATCACCCATAACTCTATGCTGTCTCCACCACTTCCTGAAACTAATAGTCCGTTAGATTTCTTTCGAAATAACGTATCAAATGCATTATCACCTTATGTTTCAGGGGGTGATTGTAATTATCGATACCACAAGGACCTTAAAGTTATTTTAGCATACCTAAGGGGTGTGGGTGTAATTTACTCTTATTCTTTTAATCTTTGCGGTAAATTACACCCCAATGTATGCTAAAATAACTTTAAGGTTCATGTGGTATCGGTAATTACAATCACCCCCTGAAACATTGTTAGAAACTCTAACGAGATAATGCATTGGATACGTTATTCCGATAGAACTCTAACGGACTATTAGTTTCAGGAAATGGTGGAGACAACATAGAGTTAGATGGTGACATGACTCCCCAAACATTTCTTAAATCACCCCCTAGCTCTATGTTGTCTCCACCACTCCTAAAACTAATAGTTCATTAGAACTCTATCCAATGTATTATCCCGTTAGAGTTTCTAACAATGTCTTAGGGGGTAATTGTAGTTACTGATACTACATGGACATTAAAGTTATTTTATCATACCTCAAGGGTTTGGGTGTAATTTACCCTAAAGTTTATAACGATGTTTTATAGGTGATTGTAATTACCGACATCACACGGACCTTGAAGTTATTTTAACACACCTCAGGGGTGTAGTTGTAATTTACCCTAATTATAATTATCCAAATATAATGTTGTTTTTCGTAATTTGAACTTACCTCAGAATTAATAATTATTTGCCCTAAAAATAAAAAGAAATGAAGAAACACTCAAAGAGTAACCAGAAAAAAAGAAAATAGAATTGATCTCAATCAAATAAATTGAGATAAAGAAGGGCTCTCATATAAAATCGGGCATCATCAACACTTATATATATGTTATATATATACACACACACACACATATTTAGTAGTATTAGAGATAGATAGATATGTAGGGTTATATAAGATTTGATATGCTTTCTTCATCATTATCATCATCATCATTCAAAACTATTACCTTATTTATTACCATCTTAATACAAATATTTCCCTCAGAAAAACCAACGAAATAAACATTGCAAAACCTAAAAAAAAAAGACAAGGTAATGATTCTGCCCTTTTTCTCATGTCATTTTCTTTTAATTCCCCCACATGCAAATTGTGTTTGTGTCACGTTTGGTTAATTCTCTCACATTTTCTTGATCTGCCAAAACATACCATATATTATTCCCACATCTCTCTCAATCTCTCTCAATCTCTCTCTCCAATTTTGTTTCACGCTACAAAAAATGAAATCTTTTTTCAATTTTTTAATTCTTTTTTTCATTCTGGTATCTGGGTTTCGTATTAATCCATTATCTCTCCCTTTCTTGATATTCAATTTGGAATCTTGATTTACTGATTTAAAAAAAAAAATCGAATCTTGATTTGACCCTAGAAAAAAAAATTGAATCTTGGGAAGTGGGCCCACAAGAAATCTTAGTTCGGGAATCTGAAAAAACTGTCAGCAGAAAAGGGCTTAGATGGAACAGAATAGACCTCTGGATCTTTGTGTTAATGGAAGCAATACTTACTTTAATTTAATATTATTATTTATTTATTTTTTTTATTTTTTTCTGTCAAGACTGTGTTTTTAATTACAGTAATTCCATGTCATATCTTCGATTGTCAGCCAAAGATTGTGTAGCCCATGTAGACCTGCAGTATATATCCAGTTCATTTATAGCCTTTTGCATGCGCATATTTCTAGAGAGAGAGAGGAGAGAGATTTCTAGAGAGAGATGAGAGAGAATCAAGATTATATGCTTTTAGGAAGGCCATCATAGGATGATAGAAAGGTCTACTTCTGTATTCAATTTCTTACATTTATAAGAATACTACTTTTTCCATGAAATTTTACTGCACAACTGAGTTTTCTTTTTTGGACATATTAGTGATTTATATATATTATATATATTATAATTTTTATACATTGATTTAAACAAGATTCATTGAGAAAGCTGGTAACTGTTGCTGTGATTCTCTAAGTAATTTATTGCAGAAAATTAGCAGCTACAATGCCATTAATTTTTCTTGGTTGCTTGCTTCTTGGGCTTTGTGATTTAATAATTTTATTTATTTAAATTTATCAATGAAGTGTAATTACTATTCACAACTGTATTTACAAATCTGGTGTTTGCCCTTTTGTCCTTTCTGTGTTTCTATGTGTTCAAAATTTTGGTTTTACTATTTAACAAAAATTCAAGATTTACCATTTTGTTTTTGCACACTAATTTTCACTGTTCACTAACTTCTCTCTCTCTCTCTCTCTCTCTCTCTCTCTCTCTCTCTCTCTCTTTACTCTCTCTCTCTCTAGAATGTTTGATGCAGAAAATAGAGAAATGATGGTTGAACAGTCATCTTCTGGTTATCATCCATATCCATCTCCATTAGCAACATATGATAATGTAGTTGCTTCTTCTCAAATATTCATGGATACTTTGAAGAAGCTCCATCTTTCTATGGGTACTAAATTCATGTAAGATTTTACTATTTGTATCTATATATATATATATACATACATATGTATATATATTATATATATGTTATTTTCTTGAATTTGGGTGTTACTATATTTACTTTTATATATCACAAATTAAAATCTGTGTAGTTGCTATTGGTAGTAGTACTATTGTGCTTTTGTGATTGTAATGAAATCAAAAGGGTTGTTGTATGTTAATGTGGAACTTAAGGTGTGGTAATTATCGATGCATTTTATTTGTCGTAAAATCGAACAAATAAGCATAATCGAAGGTGCAAATCACCGTCGAATGTAATAAACATTCATAGAGGCATTTTTGTTCAATAAAACAATTGTTGAAGCTCCAAGAAAGCAATAAAACTAAATTTAGTGTAATTTATTTATTTATTTTGAATCGGAATTATTATTCGATATGCGATTTAATGTTCGTCTCGATAAATTTTATATAGCATGTATTCTGTGTGAAGAGAGATCATTACTTGCTGCAGTTTATTACTCTTCAACTTGCTTAGTTTTCGTTTGCGCTATATATATATATATATATATATATATATATATATATATATATATATATATACATATATGGTTTTTCTATTCCAAGATTGTTTATTTTTAATTTAAATTAGTTCGTATAATTTGGTTTAGGAATCCGATCGTGGGGGGCCGGGATTTGGACTTGCATCGTCTCTTTGTCGAAGTTACGTCACGTGGTGGCATTACAAAGGTCAGTTTATTCTGTTGTATATTGTTAATTGTTTTAATTTTAATTCATTCATTTAATTAATTAATTAATTTTATTTTTATCGAAAAAAAAAAATCAGGTTTTGAAGGATCGAAGATGGAGAGAAGTTACTGCAGTGTTCAACTTCCCCTCGTCAGCTACAAACGCTTCGTTCATACTGCGCAAGTATTACGTTTCGCTGCTTTATCACTACGAACAAATTTACTTCTTTAACGCCAAATGTTGGACTCGTTCGCCTACCGGTGAGTTTAAATTAATTAGTCTTGTTCGATTAATGCATTTCGTAGTTAATAATTAATTTGAGCATATATATATAAATCTTGCGTAGATGCTATAGCGACAGTGACAGCACCTCCGAATGAATACGTGGCGCAACAAATCAACACAGCCTCACCACAACCGAATGTGAATACTTCAACTTCAATACCCAAAGGTTCCTTTTTTTCTATTATTTCACGATCTTTTTTGAGTTTCTTGAATGTAAACATAGTAAAGATTCAATTTTTTTTTTTGTGTGTGTGTGTATAAATGAATCTACACCTTCGTAAGAAATAGTAATTAACTTTCTTTCTACTACATTTCGAGTGTTTTGCAGAATCATCGTCATCCGGTACTCGAGTTTGTGGAGTGATCGACGGAAAATTCGACGGTGGATATCTAATCACCGTCAAAATCGGCACGGAAGAGTTCAAAGGCGTTCTATACCAAATCCCGGAAAACGAAAACCGCCAAGGCGAAGAATCAATCAAACCATCAATGAACAACTATGCTTCATCTTCGCCTTCACCGCTACAATTAGGACAACAACCTCGCAGAAAGCGTAGGAAAAAGTGCGAGATCAGAAAGCGGGACCCGGCCCACCCGAAGCCCAACCGAAGCGGCTACAATTTCTTCTTCGCCGAGCAGCATGCACGGCTCAAACCGCTCTACCATGGGAAAGATAGAGAGATTAGTCGGATTATCGGAGAATCTTGGAACAAACTTCAAGAACCTGATAGATCGGTAAAATTCACTGTCTTTTGATTGATCGTTTCATTTATTTGTCGAGTTGGTTTCTTGAGTTGGTTTTGCATTTCGTAATATCGAATTGTTAAAAAAAAATCCTCGTGTTATGAATATTAGCAAAACCCCTCTTGTAATGCATTTGTTGAAGCACACACCACCCAAGAAAAGTTTTTAGGGGATAGTTTGCTAAAAAAAAGTTGAATCTAGGGGTTTTTTGCTACGTAAGGAGTTTTTTGACGATTAGAGAAAATAGAGGGGTGCTGAATGCAAATAAAACCCTTTGGTTTCTATCGACTAAAATTATGGAGGGACGAAAAAAATATAATATTCTCGACTTTCTTCAAATGTTTGGTACCCCTAAAGAAGTCTTTGGGGTTAAGTTTGCTAAGAAAAGTTGATTTGTATGGGGTTCTTTTTGGTAATAAAATAATATGGGGGTATTTTGAGGAGTAGAGAAACTACAGGGGTGTTGAATGCAAATAAAACCCTTTTATTTTCGTCGAATAAAACTTTTTTAGTAGTAAAGTATATAGTAGAGGGACGAAAGAAAAAAAAATCTTAAGTTTTTTGCATTCACATGTTTTTTTTTTTTGTTTGATTTAGGTTTATCAGGAGAAAGCTCTTAAAGACAAGGAGAGATACAAGATGGAAATGGAGGGGTACCGCGAAAGATTGAGAATCGGTCAAACGATACCATGTGTGGGTCCCGTGGGGCCCACACAACAACAACGGCCTCCTCAGGTTCCGATCAATTTGACGGATCTTAATATGATTAATATTCAATCCGAAGGAGGTGGCGGGCCCGCCTCTGCCGCCTACACGGAGGAAAACGAGACGAGTTCCGACGAGAGTGGAGGAGATAAGGAGGACTACGATAATAATTTCGGCGAATACTCGAACGAATTGAAGAATGTGAATATCGAGGTTATGGGCGACGAAGCATTCGATTTGCAGACAAGACAGCCGAATGAGCGTATTGACATTAATGATGATCCTGCCCTTGGTGATAGTAACCGAGACGGAGTGTCGGTTACGATTGAAGAGAAGGTGGAACGAATGCCGAGTAATGTCGATGAATTATCTGTTCCAAACTTGTGATTTTTTTTTTTTTTTTTTTTTTTTTTTTTTTTGCATTTTGGCAGTTTAGATATATGATCTAGAATTTGAACTTTAATTTATCTTTAGGGTAACTAAATTAATTGCATGGTCTCACCAAATTCTATTGTTTAGTTTTCTTTTGTTTATTATTTTGCTTCGGTTGAGATGAGTTGAAGTAGAGAAAATTTTGTTTGTTCTGCTATGAGAATCGTAGGAAATAGTAAATCGGACGAATCGGAATTAGCTCTTTCAGAAAAGTTTTGATTTTTTCGGAAGTGAAGTACTAGTTCCAATTTCGTTCCAAAAAAAATTGGAACGAAAATACTTGTTCTAAAATTGGAAAATTTCGGATCAGAATTGGCGGAATTTGGAATTTTCCAATTTTTGTTCATCTTAAATACAAAATACATAATAATATTGTTCTTTTAATTGTAATATTTGGTTTTTGAAATTATTTTCGGAAGTTTAAGCGGATCAGAAATCGGAATTTCATATATATTCCGATCCAATAATCTCATTACTGGAGATGTGTTTTGCATATTTCATGTTGTGCACATAAAATCTTTCCCGCCTAATTCGAATAATAAAGGTCGTTAAAATACTTTAATCGTATTACTAGGAAGAATGTAAAATTAATTCAACCTAAATTATAAAGATCAAGAAAAAACTACAAGGTAGAAAAAACACGAGTAAGTTGAGAACGATTTATAACATTATAGAAAATTCGAGAGAAAAATCGGTTTCAGTTCGATTGCTGACCTGTTGCACCATAATGAACCGAATAATTCAATTTAACAATAAAATAAAATAGTACTAATGGTTTGCTAATCAAAGCAGTTTGAAATGGCTCGATTTTTCATGTTGTTCGGAGTTTCAATTTTGTTTGCTCACCCGCGTACCAACAATATCGGTTTTGAAGGGATGTCAGAGAAGCCATTGCTTAGAGCCCCACTTTAATTTGGGGTCCCGGAAAAACAAACAAACTAATATTTACAAGGGGCAAATACTGATAAATCCTTAAACCCAAACATAAAGTGCGGGTCAGTCCCAAGAACATTTTTAAGTGTATTGGACCCTAAATCAAACATAAATATGCACTTAACTCCTTAACTGGTGTGCAAAGACCGAAAAACCCTTCACTTTATTTTGAAATTAACTGCGAATTCTGACAAAACTTTTCACCTACCTTTTCACGCGCCGGTTGAGAGTCACGCTCCATACCTTTTTAACTATCCGTTGTCATTCAATTTTTGAACCATTTCCTCAGCGGTTTCTAGCAGTTTTTCGTCGTGCAAGCGATTCTTCAGGTTTTTCGGTTTTTGTTTGCTTGTATAAATAACCACAACAAGGCGGAAAGTAGACAGGAAACTAAAGTAATAATTTTCGAAGTAGAAGAATGGTGCGGACAAAGAAGGGGAAGGAGAAGCAAGGTTTTTTTTTTTTTTTTTTTTTTTTTTTTTTTTTTTCAGGAATCGATTATGAAATTTGTTGTTGTTGTTGTGCTTAGGTTAGCAAAAAACAAACTGCATGTTCTCATATTGAATGATTTTGAACATTTCCAGTAGTGGGTAGCCAACGGCGAGATTGAAGTTTTCTCAAATAAAAAAATCGAACAACTGGTTCCAATAAATGTTGTTTTCTAGTTTATGTTTGCAAAAATTGTTCATTTTCTGTTGAATTGCATGATTTTGAACACTTTCACTCTTGGGTATCATTCGTCTGAAACATTAGTATTTCCCCAAATCACGTTTGGTCATAACAAGGGTTTGATTTTGGGCATTATATGTGTTTAAATAATATAAGTCTTACTACACAACGGTAGTGCTATTGTAGTTAGAAGGTACAAAAAAAAAGGTAATGGCATTTCTTCTGATGTAATTAAATAGTATATGTAGTATTGCCTAATAGTATAGTTAATGTAGGTGTATGGTATTGATACAATATAGTGAAGGTATAATTACAATAACTACATAGTACCATTATTATCTTACAATTGTATTTTTTCTGATTATTTTTTTTCCTTTATAATCGTAATCCACTTGCAGAGGATGACGCCCAACAAGCTTGCAGGTGCTCTCCTAGCGCCTTCAAAGAACAAACGGACATAATTAAACCAATGATGACGACCAGACATTTTGCTGCCTTGGAGGAAACTCCTTTCGGGCATTTCTTAAACATGCCTAAGATATACCATAGTTTCTTAAAGGTGTCTGTTCTGTTGAAGAAGACATACAACGTGGAGGAACGTACGTTCTGGTTTGGAGGTAAAACTATCCCCGTCGTATTTGATCCTAGGGAGTTCTCCATCATGATGGGATTACAGTTGAAGGGGGTACCCATCGATAAAAGCCTGGAAATAGAAACTCCTTTCATTAGACGTGTTTTTGGGGGTAAATTGACCCAAGTAAAGCGTCATCAAATTGCTGAAAAATTGGAAGAGTATGTTGTTAAGACCGACCAACAATCCATTGAGGATTTTTGTAGGTTGTACATTATTTTCGCTTGCAATACTTTCTTATTGCCAAAGGCAAACTTTCAACTGCCGAGGTACGTTTATCCACATGTTGACAAATTGGAGCGCGTAGGAGATTTTGCGTGGGGAAAGTTGGTGTATGATATGGTCATTGAAAATATTGAGGCACACTTGGCTGGGGCAGGAGGGTATTTTGATGGTTGCACCATTGGATTGTTGGCATGGGTGAGTGAAATGATCACTTCTTTGGGGTTCGCAATAAGCGTTTTCGAATACCCAAGATTTTTTCGATGGTCCGACTCCAAAATACCAGCCGATGAACATCAGGCTAAACATCTTTTTAGGGAACTCACACCAGATAAGGCAATAATTTGATTTATGCATTTTCATTGTGTTATTTGCTTACCTAATAAACAAATGTACAATTTGTTTATATGTTTATTAGGTTATATCATTCTCCGTGCACAAAGAAGAGAAAAAGTTTCTGGTTTCACCCGTGGAAGAACTATCTGGTCCTATTGCTGCAACTTTGGAGGTCGGTGGAAAAGTGGAAGTCAGGCGTGTAAGTGAAGAGTACTATTAATGAGATGGACATGTCCCATTTGTAAACCAACGTTACACTAATCATTGTTTATTTTATGTGAACTGCAGGAGCATTTTGGAAATGCACAACAAGTGAAGAGGAAAAATGTGAGATTGGAAGAGACAGAAGGGAAGAAGAAGAGAAGAAAAGCTATTATTTTTTAAGAGGAGGAGGAGGAAGAGGAAATAGAAGAGCAAGATGAAGGGAAAAATGAAGTGGATGAGGAAGATAAATTTTTTAATGCTGTTGAAGAACTTGGAGATGAGGGAAAAAAAGTGCAAGAAGGAAAACAAGAAGAAGAAGAAGAAGAAACCTTGATAGAAGTACTAAACATGGAGAGGGAAAGAAAGTCGAAGGCAAGAGAAGACAATCGAGGAAGAAAAAGTCGAGGACAAGATCGCAGCGTAGTCTCCACTAAACTGCCCACAACAGTAATTATGATTATAATTTAATAATAACTATTATTATTATTATTATTATTACTATTATCACTAATGATTACTTTGGATATAGGTTGTCATAGATAATTCTACGTACCAGGGGAGAACATACTATATATGTCGAGATGAACTAACTGATGTACAAAGGGCAGTACTGGATGGGTACTTGGTTGATGTTGATTTGAGGTAAAATCACTAACTTACTGAACATTTGCTATATAATAACTGTTTATGTAGTATCGGTGTACTAAACAAATAGTGCATGTTTATTTCTATTGTAGTGCAATTGTGATCGAAAGAGGCCCAAATGTAATGACTGGAAAGCATATGTACGATCTTTTATTTGATCAGCATCTGAGTGAGGAGCATATCGACATATACATGAGCCTGTTAAATTCTGAAGCGATCATGGATGAACATGGGCATGAGATTGATTATCTCGAGACCTCTGCCCAGGTATAAACTGGTTTAACAAATATGTTGCATTCTGTGTATACTGGTTTATCTTATATTTTTTTATTACGCTTCGTAGCATGAGATACTTGCACGAGATCGAATGGACTTCAAAACGATGGGTGATACAGAATTGGATACTTTTTTCAAGAGATTAACATATTTTGGATCTACCGCAGTTGAGAAGCTTGGAATAGCACGTCTCTACAGCAAAAAATTATGTTCTGATACCTATAAATCCCAAAGATCACTGGTTCTTGCTTGTATTGGACCCTAACGAAAAAGTTTTTCGTCATTGGAACTCCCTAGCCCATTCTCCGACGAGCCCAGGAATTGCAAATTATATCGTAAGTCCTTAAATCGATGATTACTTCTTTAATTTATATATTGGGGAATGTGGTATATGTTTTATTAATCCATAGTTTGGGTATTGTGATTGAATAGTGCTGCAATATGGTAACGAGAATACATGTATACTAATATAATAGTATATTTTTGTAGGCGAGTTATTAAGCAGGGTGATTGAAAATAAAACCGCGTTGGAGATACCTTCACATGTCGAATGGGTAGAAGGATGCAGACAACATGATGGGAATGATGATTGCGGGATTTTTGTCTGCATGTGGGCATATTGCCATGCTAGAGATGATGCTGAGACTTGGGAAAAGGCGAAAACTTGCTTGATCAAAAAACTCCGTCCAAAACTATCACTTGTCTTCTTAAAGCACCAGGGCGTGGATAGAGAGCCAGTAGATGCCGATGCTTTGAACATATTTTGAACGATTTTGAAATTTATTTTTGATTAGTTTTGAACAAGCTGTTTTATGGGTGTTTTTGGGTTTTGATTGTCATGAACAATCTGCTTTTGACTGTCTTTGCATGAACAAGTACTTTTAGATTAGTGTTTTCGTGCAATGATTGTATTAAACTTGTCCCCTTTTTGTGGTGTTGTGACACGTATTTTGAATAGTTTAAGTTTTTGGCACATTAGTTTTTAATACTCTAATAGTTTCTTATCGATGCGTATAACATACCGCATCTATACCATTACCAAAAATGAGGAATACCATAATGTTGATGACTTGAATTGCTCAAATTTGTTTTGCACATTTGTGATCTATAAGTTTGAGAAAGACATATAATAGGTTTTAAATTAAAGTTGTAAGGTTTTTTCAGGTTAGTTTTGACTTTGGGGTTCAAAATGGAACAAATGTATCGAATTCCTTACAAGATACACTACTAATGTACAAGGCTTCGCTGTATAACTGATTGTTTTCATCACAAGTGACCATATTCAACACCTATCAACTCCCAAGTTGTCTCAATTCTTGTAAATGAGTCACAAAATGAATAAATAAGGGATGAGATGGTTTTCTATGGTCGTATTGACCCCAAATGATACTATAATAAGGGTACCATTAGTACAGTACATAAGAACTATATCGTTGGCACACAGATACTAAACAACAGTTCCGTCCATCCATATACACGCCACCGAATATACTAGTCGTTAGACCAACCAATACCATAATTTTGATGACTTGAATTGCTCGATTTTTTTTTTTATACATTTGTGATCCATAAGTGTGGGAAAGACATATAATAGGTTTTAAATTAAGGTTGTAAGGTTTTTTCAGGTTAGTTTTGACTTTGGGGTCCAAAATGGAACAAATGTATCGAATTCCTTACAAGATACAGTACTAATGTACAAGGCTTCTATGTATAAGTGATTGTTTTCTTCACAAGTGACCATATTCAATACCTATCAACTCCCAAGTTGTCTCAATTCTTGTAAATGAGTCACAAAATGAATAAATGATGGATGAGATGGTTTTCTATGGTCGTGTTGACCCCAAATTATACTATAACAAGGGTTATAACAAGGTACCATTAGTACAGTACATAAGGACTATATCATGGGAACTATAATACGTAGATATTGTACGATCTATAACAGAACCGTAAAACAACAATAACTATAACTATATTGTATGAGTACATTTCTTACGAACAACAATAATTGATTCATCGGTAGAGTTAATTTATTAAGATGTACCCAAAGTACTTACACATTCACATTACAATAAGATTAACGAGCTACAATACACGACACTAAATTTTAACTCGTACTATTACGGTGATTAGTTAAGAAATATTACATAGGTTTGACAAATCATGTAAACTGCAAATATTACTAGGTTTAACACTATCAAACTTTGAATTATTCCAGCTTCATCTTTGAAATTCTTCACTTTACTTTCGCGATGAACTTGGTTCGTCGATCCACTCGCAGCTTCACTTTCTTCATATCGAGAATAGTTGTGGGAGAAAGTTTGCCCAATTTCAAATGGCTCACACCAATGAGAATAGCCATGGTCAAGGCAACAGTAAAATAGCCTCCCTGGATTCAAACTTGTCTCCTAAACCATGATTATTGTTTTTTTTTCCCACAATCACGACGCTTGCAGTTATCTTTTTTATATTTTAAGCTACTCTTTTGAGAGTTGCTACTGGAAAAATGAATGAGAAGCAAATGAACATAATTACGTACTATTTATAACCGACAAAAATAACGGCTATATTATTGTAACGGTCATAAAATTCAAATCGATTCATTTATTATTCTTCTGTGAACTATATTATGTTGTAAGTTATACCATATGACGTAACAACAATACTATTGTAACTAAAACAATGCGCTCTATTTTAAATAAAACAGTCATATCATGGTCAAGGATGTAAAAGGCGGTAATCGGGCCCGAGTCGGTCAGGCACCGACTCACGATTTTTCGGTGCGGCGGTGATTAATCGGTGATAAATCGGAAATAAATCGGTTTTTAAAATTTAATATAATATATTTCTAAATATTATTTATAAATACTCCAAACATATATAAAAAGATATTTAAACATAGTTATATTATATCTCTATCATGTATATAAATAACAAAACATTTTTTTTGAATTTACATTTATTCTTGAACATTCCGGGCATGCATCATTAGTTCTTTAACAATAACAATTAACATAAAAAAAAATAAGGCATAAACTCATATTTTCTTTTATTAAAATCTAACTTTTATTTTGAATTATAAAAAGAAAAAAAAAACGATTTTAACCGATTTTTGACCGATTTTTGCCACTGAGTTTGACCCGCCTTAAAGGTTTGACCGCCTCCGCCTCGGAGACCGATTAATCGGCCGCCTCGGCCGATTTTTAGAACACTGATCATGGTACATAATACAAATAGATAAAACAGAGTTCAAATAGATAAATAGTACGAAATACATGTCAACAAAGTTCAAACAACATAAAAACAAAGTAGAAACAACAACGTTTGATTCACTGCAATCCTTGTGGGGAGATGGGCAACCACACGTGCTCTCCTCCACCTGGTCAACACTGATTGTTGCTACGGGACTGGTTGTTTGCACGTACGGCGATTATGTCCAGGTATACCACACCGTGCACACTTCGTAACACGGGTTTCGACTTGCGATGGAATTCTTTTCGTCCTTTTACGGCCTGGTTGAGCTTTCGATGCAGGTGGATTAATAAATACATCTTCCGGGCCATGATTTGTTTGTGCATTGTAAAAATCAAATTCCTCATCAAATGAAGGAATTGGATTAATTGTGTACTTATACACTTCTTTGTACAAATCAATCCGGAAGCAAGGATCAACAAATTCAAATACCGAATATCCTTTCGACTCAATACATGCACATTCATGTTTGCACGGAAGTTTATCCAACTGCCAAGATTTGGAAGTACGGGTCTTAGTCTCTTAATCAACACCATACGACTTATCCTCTTCATACACCTCATAACGCGTACCACTGGATCTGGTATATTTTAATAAGCGAGAGGCTGTATAGTTGATTAATAATCTCTTTTCAACTTTTGGACACACTGTATCAGCCATGACTAAAGAATCTTCCCATCGATTACCTATCATCTTCATTATTTTGATTCGTATCGTATCAATCATGGATGGAACTGGCAAAGATCGTTCATATTTTACCCAACCATTCCAACATTCAACTTGGTTACCGTTCATTATTCCCCATCTATCCATAGAAAAGTATGCATTGGCCCAACGATTGGGATCCGAGTCTCGGATAAAGGATTCTGCACGAGGCATTGATTGAACTATAAAAGATATATGTTCATCAAACTCTTGTCGAGTAGGAGCAATTGCAGCCTTATGTAGAATACTCACCCAATATGCTTTGTTGTGCAATGGATAGGATCTTAGAACCTTTGTTCTAAAGTTATCCTCCAAATGTCGCAAACAATAAGCATGGTTGCTACCAGGAAATACCAGTGGAATGGCTTTAATAAGCCCCGAATGACGACCAGAGAAAATTGTGTAATTTTTCAATAAACCGCCATTGTGGTAAACAAGAATCTCTTTCAGCTTATTACAAAACCACTCCCAATTTCTATCAGTCTCGGCATCAACAATTGCATAGGTCAATGTGTATAACTCATCATTTGGATCTTTGGACACAGCAGAAGGTAAGCAACCTTTGTACTTATTTTTAATATGAGTCCCATCCAAACATATCATGTGCCTACACCCACGGTGGAAACCCAAAATAGAATTTCCAAAACTAATAAAGATCCGAAGAAACTTTTGAGTTTGAGGGTCAATCTCATAATCGGCACAACTACCAGGGTTATTCTGTTTTAATGCACGACAATAACGTCTCAGTTTATTATAACAACTCTACTCATCCCCATGAATGTCATACATTGCTTTTTCCTTACCTCTCCACGACGTATAGTACTTAAGCTCCACACCGTACTTTCTTTGGACCTCATTCAAAATAGCAATTGGTTTGTAACCTGGCTCATCTCTCAATATTTGTTTCATAAGTTGCGAAATCCACATAGCATCGGCTTTGGGATGACCCCTTGTACGAAGAGTAGCATCACCACAACTGTGCTCAAGAATACATTTGCGAATGCCGAATAACTTGTCTGATTTATGAACTGATGCATAAACCCTCCATTTGCAATTTTCAACAGTGCATACGGCTATGATCTTTTATTGATTATTTTTCTTGTACTTAAAGATTCGATTGTTAGCAATGCAGTAATTTTTTAGCATAAACCTAAAATTATTAGGATCTTTGAAAATTTGATTCTCCCCACGTATGCAATGTCTCCATGCATCAATTGAATTTCCAACCGGATTGTACTCAATTTGCAACGAACTGTTGGAATTAACAGACTCACTGGAAAAGGCAAAAACAATGAACAAATTGGATTATTACAGTGGACTACAAATAGATTGTAACAATTGAAATAAGTACTTTGAGTGGAATGCTTGCATACGAGAACTCAATTTATAAGATACTTGACATACAATCATTCCATACTATCACTAGCCTTATATGATACTACGAGCTTAGTTATTCTACACTATCACTATATTAACACGATACTATGTAGTATTATATTCTATGCTATCATCACATAAACAAATTGAAAATGCATACAAAACAGAATGGCTGCATACCCGTGGCTGGGGGTCCTCCTTCTACGCCCATCAAGTTCATCAGTGCGACTCACCACAATGTCGACCACACTCATGTGCATTACCAAATGCAATGTAACCATATTCACCACGTCTTCGTTAGAAGTCAGTGTGACAAACATTCTTTCACGAGGAGCCAAGTATTGGAGCACCAATTTGTCGGGATGTATATCGTTCCACTTCATTAAGATAGATTCATAGATCTCCTTTAAAGTCGAATCATTCTTAATGGAGATGATGTGCAGATAATCACTGTACCGACAACTTCCAATAATACCAGCGACGATGGGGTTTGATTCACCATTTGCTGCCATTGTGGAAATTTTCAGTTTTTTTTCGCGGTCGGAAAACAAAAAGTTGTAATAGAGAATATGAGGAAAGGGAGAGGAAAGAGAAACATAAGAGAAAAAATGGAAGAAAAAAGAGAGAGGAGAGAGGGGAGGGAAAGAGAAGAGAAGAAAGGGAAGAAAGAGGACAGAGGAGAGAGGAGATAAAGTGTATAAAGTGAAAAAACGTGGGGTCGGGGACTGAACTGCATGTTTATTTTTACTTTAAGGACTGACCCGCTTGTGAAACGTTGCTGGGGACTGACCCGTATATTTTGTTTTGAGTTGGGGATTTACCTGTACTTATTCCTATTTACAATTAATATTATACATTTATAAAGTTTAAAAGAAATATTATAAGTGTAATGTTTAAATAAAATTATATTTTTGTGTTGCCCATTATAAAAGTTTTGTTATTATTTTAGTAGAATAATTATTTTTCATGAAGTTAATATGACATTTATAATTTTTTTTTTTTATCTAAAATGACAAATTCGTTAAATAATATTAAAACAAGTGAAGACCATATCTTTTAATTTTGTTTAGGGCCTCGAAAATGTTATGACCGACTCTGCGTACTAGTTATCATCTCCGTTTCTTAATCTAATAGGCTTAAATACAATTATGATTGTATACGAAAAAGCATCAATTTTTAGTTAATTTTGAATAAAAACATCAAAGAATACCCAAAAAATAGAACAATTAAATTTAATAACTAATAAAAAATAAAAATCAAATTTAATTTGCTTGTATTCCATAATTTAGGGGCCATTTTTCAAATAAGTTCACATAATTTATTTATGTATTAGTCTACATGATTTGTATCATCAACTCATATGCCTAAATTTAAAATAAGATTAATTCCCACATCTAAATTTCATTCCAGCTATCTAACTTTTGACTTTCCAAATTATTTGTAATATTCCAATTATCTAGGCAATGATTTACATAATACTAAATAAAAATATTATGGATTTGAAATCATTGTACCTTCTACACGCCAGCATTTCACTATAAATTGGGGAAGATGAAGCTGCAAATAACCCACATACAAGAAAACAAACTCGTGTTATCGAAATTCAAAGGATGGATCGCACAATCACGAATACCGTTTTCTTTTTATTTTTGCTCTCAATGAACTTCGCCCATCAAATTGGTGCCGAAACGAAGTTCATGGGTAAGCACACAATCCACATTTATAACCGCTTACCCGAAAAATCGAACCCGCTCTATCTGCACTGTGCGTCTAAAGACGATGATTTTGGCGACCACACCTATTATTCTGGTCAAACTTTTACTTGGAATTTCCGTGTCAATTTCTGGGGAACTACTTTGTACTTTTGTTCTTTTTCATGGAAAAATTATGTACGGAAGTTCGAAGTATTTAGAGCTGGTTGGGATGGGGATAGTTATCGACACACGTATAGCTATATAGTGAACAATGAGGGCATCTATCTTGGCTATGGTGACAATCCAACAAGTGATTTAACTGAAATACTTAGCTGGGATGACTAGTGATTGTTGCAATTAATTTTCAATTTTAATTGATCTTAGTACTTCAATTGATGTATACATTCATAATAAAATATATCAAAGTAGTAATAAATTTTCATAAATAATATATCTTGTTGGTCATAAATAAAAAAATATCGGGTGATTTTGTATCATATTTTTGTATAAATAACCATCCATTAAACATATATATACACATGGGTGCGTGTTATACTATGCGTATATCAATGATGCAGAATCGTCCAATGTGTTTCACCGAGTGTATTGCACAAACTAGGGGTTATTTCTATATTACACCCGGTGAAGACTGCACCCGGTGTTTTGTGTGTTTGTATGTATATGAATAGTAAAGATCTATCCGGTATATTTCACCCGGTATAGCATAGAATAAACCCGTAATAACCACCGGATTAATATTCTGATAATAATGATTTGTGTAGCTATGTGATTATTACTCCCTCCTTCCCTTAATATTTGTCACTTTTGCCATTTTTTCATATTTCAAATTATTTGTCATTTTACTATTCCAACGAATAATTAATTGCATTTTTTTCAATTTTGCCATTTCTCACTCATAATTAATTGAAATATAATTATTTAAAAATCAATTAATGGCATGGGCGTTTTAGTGATTTACTATACTCTTTGCTACTATCTATGCATATCTATTAAGTTTATTAATATGTGTGCAACCAACAAAAGTGACAAATATTAAGGAAATGAGGAAGTATTATTATTTGTTCCATCAAACTTGAGTCATTTGTTTTGGCCTTTCCATTTCTTCCTTTAGCTTACAATACACACTGGTCTTCTAATAAGTTTTACGATTTTCGTATTAATCACGGGTTACATCGTATATACTCCAATTAATCACGGGCCACTTCGTATATATTCCAATTAATCACGGGCCACTTCGTATATACACACTGCTTGATTCTTTTAGGGATAATTTCAATTCTTTATTTATTACTTCTATAAAAATTTCCATAATTTTTTTTATTGTTTTTTGTTACTCCATTTTGCTAGTTGACATCTTGTATTGATTATTGGGAGGCGTTGTTAATTGGGTTTATTGTTTTTATAAGTTCAATAATATGATTGTCTTTGGATAATCATAATCTCCAATTTTGAAATTAATAGTATATTTATGATAAATGGGATAGCTTATTAATGAGAATGAATGAATAAAGCAATTGATTTAGTTCAATTTACCTAGTGATATATGTAGTAGGTTGCTAAATTAAAGTAGCTAGAATACATATATCTAGAAATAATATATTGGTTAAAATTGGATATTAATTTCTTACAATAATATACTTTAAAACCGTAATCTTCATATTGGTCTAAATATTATTTAGTAAATATTGCAAATTTTTTTTTATTGCTTAAAAATATTATTATTATTGATTCAATTAAGTACAGTCAATTAATGAAGGAGAGTTGGTACCTAGCCTTTACCAATATAGCAACGGTTTACGGTTCGAGGCTCCACTTCCCCTAATTCTCCTTGTAATGAACTTGAATTTACTCAAAAGAAAAAAAAATATCAATTAATTATATTGCTTCAGTTATTTCATTGCGGTTTGTTTGTATATGTATTATATAAAATTAATTTAATCAGATTCCATAAATCATGTTGTTAATTAGAGTGATAGAACCACAATCTAGGAAATCAAGGCTCCTAAAATTAGCATTTAAATTACCATGTGTGGATCCCGTGGGGCCCACACAACAACGGCCTCCTCCGGTTCCAATCAATTTGACGTTACAACCACCCCTCAACTATAAATCTTCTTACACGTTCACCCTTTCGTTTGATTATCTCATTCTAACTCCACATTTTGAAGCAAGATGATCATAATTAATATGTGTTTTTTGGCTTGTATATACCAGATTGTGGTGCATCATAAAATGTATTTTTACATAAAACGAGTACAAACTAGAGCACATTCCACGAAATCTAGATGATTATGTTGAATTTGACACCATAAGGGTGGAGATGTAAGAAAAAAAATAGTTGAGGGGGTAGATGTAATTATCCAAACAAGAGAGTTTTTTTCGTAAATTCACCATACCTCAGGGGGTGGTTGTAGTTTGATCTAATATTATTAATATTCAACCAGAAGGAGGTGGCGGGCCCGCCTCTGCCGCCTACACGGAGGAAAACGAGACGGAGTTCCGATGAGAGTGGACGAGATAAGGAGGACTACGATAATAATTTCGGTGAATATTCGAACGAATTAAAGAATGTGAATATCGAGATTATGGGTGACGAAGCGTTCGATTTGCAGACAAGGCAGTTGAATGGGAGGAGCGACGGGGCGTATTGATATTAATGACGATCCTGTCCTTGGTGATAGTAACCGAGACGGAGTGTCGGTTACGATTGAAGATCAGGTGGAACAAATGCCGAGTAGTGTCGATGAATTATCTGTTCGAAACTTTGTGATTTTTTTTTTCTTGCATTTTGGCAGTTTAGATATATGATGATCTAGAATTTGAACTTTAATTTATCTTTAGGGTAACAAAAAGAATTGTATGGTGTAACCAAATTCTAGTGTTTAGTTTTCTTTTGTTTATCATTTGCTTTGGTTGAGTGAGTTGAAATAGAGAAAATTTTGTTTTGTTCTGCAATGAGAATCATCGGCAATAGTAAATCGGAAGGATCGAAATTAGCCCTTTTGGAAAAGTTTCGATTTTGCAGAAGTGAAGTACTAGATCCAATTACGTTCCAGAAAAAAAAAAAGAAGGAAAAAATCGGAAATCGGAATTTTGGAAATTGGAGCGAAAAAACTTGTTCCAAGATTGCAAAATTTCGAAGGGGAATCGGCGGAATTTGAAATTTGGAATTTTTTTAATTTTTGCTCACCTTAAATATAAAATGCATAATAGTATTTTTATTTTAATTGTAATATTCGGAAAAAGAAATTGGAATTTTTGAAATTATTTTCGGAACTTTAATCGGATTGGAAATCGGAATCTCATACATATTCCAATTTCGATCCAAAAATCTCGTTATTGGAGATATGTTTTACATATTGATCATGTTAGTTATTTCTCAAATATGTTTTATGATAATTCAATAAAAAAGGTTGTTAAAATACTTTGATCTTATTACTCGGAAGAATGTAAATTTTTTTTAGGGAAAAAAGAACTTTTTATTAGGCGAAAAACACCGAATTTGGAGGAAGGGTGAACGCTTCTATACAAGAATTGTCATACGATTTTGCAATGGCATTAACTAATCTATTATCAATACGCTCAATAAAAGCGAATGAGATGAAGTGAAAAGTACGATATAAATTTTACATACATTATAAAGATCAAGAAAAACTAAAAGGTAGAGAAAAATATGAGTAAATTGAGAACGATATAAAATAATATAGAAAATTCTAGTGAAAAATCGGTTTCAATTTGGTTTTTGACCTTTTGCCGTTTGCACCATAATGACCGAATAATTCCATTTGACGATAAAA